ACTCACCTCAGCCTCCCAAAGGCGCGGGATTACAGACTGAGCCACCGAGCCTGGCTCATAAAAATAATTTTTAAGACTCATTGGCCACTTATGGAATTTTTCAAGGAACTGTCTATTGTGCTTTTGACAAACCCATTTTCTTTTTATTAATGGATGTATTAGTGGACATATTTTGCCTGGTATATAATTTACTTTTGCTCATTTTTACAGTATTTCTTAGGCATTTGTGGGGGAAATCCTTACAGCTTTTCATTATGCTTGTAGATGCACTGCCCTGTCTAATGATAAGTCCCCAGATATCAGCAACAGACCTTTTGGTATAAGATGAGTTTATTGCTTACTGGGATAAGGCAGAACACCACTTCTTCAGATCTTTGATAGTGTCTTGAACTGAGAAATCAAGGTTAGAGTTTATTGATGATTTGAAGTATGGTTTAAGGTTGGTTTCTCAGTAGGGGGAGATGGCTTGATTAGGATTAGATATTGATTTGGATACGGCAGTTTAAAATTGGTAGGAAGAGCAAGGCAAAGGAATCAAGGCCATAAAGTATTGATGCTTTCTGTTGAAGAAATGAGATATTTCAGAAAGTGTAATAAGCAATCAAGTTGTTTGTCTGGGCAGGTGTCTCCTAGAATAGTAAAGTTATGCTAATGAAGACACAGAATGAATCACGTCATGCTAATGTAGATAGTAAACTATCTGGTAGGTAGCTTTGAACCTCAAGCTGTGTGTAGGGGTAGTTTCCCGTCTCAGCCCTTAGGTCAAGATAGTGTCTTGTAAAGGAGGTAAGTTGAAGAAACAGACAAGCATTTATTGAGTATACATTGATGCTAGTTACTTTACGTTCACATTTAAACCCCTTGGCAACCCTATGATATAGATGTATTAACTCAATTGAGCCACTTGAGGTCCAGAGAGGTTTAATAACCTACCCAAAGTTACATCGTCAATGAATTGTAAAGTTGGCTTGTGAAGAGAAATTGAACTTTAAAATCAGATCTTTCCTGTACATTATGCTGTTTAGCTTGTGAAGGGAAGCACAATCCAGTCATTAAACAATCTTAATGGATTTACATGGCAACATAAATGATGCAGATATATATTTCTCTGAATTTGGAGTCATTGGGGAATGATCTGAAACTTGAGGACAAATAAAAATACACGCAATACAGGTTGCGCATCCCTAATCTGAAAACCTGAAATCCAAATGCTCCAGAATTTGAAGTGCTTTGAGTGCTGACATTACACACAAAGGAAATGCTCATTTCAGATTAGGGACGCTCAAAAAGTAAGTAAGCAAATATTACAAAAAAATGAAAAAGTTTGAAATTCGAAACACTTTTTGGTCCCAAGCATTTCAGATAAGGGAGACTCAACCTGTACTAAGTACCTTTACTCCTGAGCATCCCTTTGCTAGTTTAGGAATGAAGGAATGAATTACAAGGAATGTCGTACCACTGCATTAGAAGCCTGTGCAAAGTACTAAGGGGACTTGGAGAAGAAAGCTCTAAAGGTCAGAGAAGGCTTTGTGGAAAATGTGACGTTGGGCTTCAGTCTTGAAGGGGATGTATGTAGGAGTATGCCAGGTAGGTAGGGCGGGAGCTTGGGGAAAGGTCAAGTATTCCAAGAGGAGTGAGGACGTAGACATAGACATGGGAAGGATGGAATCATGGTATTGGGGTATGACTAAAATTTAAAGCATGCTTCTGATGCCTTTATTCAGCAAGTCCTGTTGATTCTACAAAATATATCTCCACCTGTAGTGGGAAGACAGAGAGATAGTGACACCGAGACTATTATAGGAAGTGGCATCCCATCCCAGCGGGCTTGAGGGGCTAATGCGTCCAAATAGAGCCCCCCAGAACGGGAGAAGTGGGGTCTTATACCCTTGTTTAGGTAAGGGAGGGGGTCATGTTAAGTGATTACATATTTCCTTTGGAATCTTACAAGGTTATACTCAGCAAAATCAGATTTTTCAAAGAACAAATGGTTTTCAGGAACTGCAGGGTTGTAAGCCAGCAACTTCAGGAGAGGGGTTTTGGATAAGTCTGTGAATTAGTTACTCTTTTGCATTTCCATGAAATGGCCAGTCTCTGGCCATTTGGTCTTTCTTAAACAAAACCTGCCTGGTGCCTGGCGGGTCTTTAAAACTTTCAGCTTGCCTTTCAAAAGGAAATATCTTTAACTGCTATCAACCCCTCTTTCTGCCACATCACACCCACTTGCCCCTTCTTTTCCTGTCCCAAACCAAGCCACCAACATCACCTATAGCTACTGCTTACCGCAGCTTTCTAGTGGGTCTTTCTGTTTCCTTTCTTGCCCTCCCTTGGATCCATTCTATATGTATCAAGAAAAGTGACTTCTAGAATGTAAATGTCTCTTCCAGAACCCTAACTTTTTTGTCCAACCTCAATTCATGCGTTTCTCTCTTTTGGGTAGGATCCTACCCTAGCCATGATTTATGCTCTCTTTGGTTTTTTTGTTGTTGTTTTGTTTTTTGTTTTTTGAGTAGGCGTTGTTAGGGTACCAATAGGGTGAGGGTGAATGGATGGATGAGGAGGGGCGCAGCACTGCGCTGTTAACCAGAGATCCGAGGAAGGCAAAGATTTGCAACACACAAAGAGGTGAAAGAAGAAAAGATTTATTTCAGAAAGGTTCACTTCCCACAGTCAGGAAGCTGGCCTACACGCTAGACGAGTGTGACCCCGTAGCCCGGAGCCCTGGCTTAAAGCCTTTCCCCTAGAGATGTTGCAATCAGATACACAGGACTGCCATGACTACCTTATTCACAACTTGAGGATGTCTTGGAGACCCTGAGGGGGTTCTGGTCACCATGCACGGAGTATACAATGGGTCAATACTGGTCATGCTTGAGAAGTCTAGGTTTCTAAAAAAGACAAATTACAATAGGCAGGAACCGGTCATGCTTAAGGAGTCTGTTTCTGAAAATACAAAGTCGGCAAAGTTAGTCTTTACCTAGAGCATGTATTTCTCCCAGACATAGCCTCTACTTTCTCATCATTGTGTTAGGGTTTAGGAACAAGATTAAAAAAAGGTTTCCTGCTCTCGGTCAGTCCTTTCAGGAGTTTCACTCTGTCGCCTAGGCTAGAGGGCAGTGGCACGTTAAAGGCCACTGCGGCCTTGACCTGCTCGGCTAGGCAGTCCTTCCACTTCAGCCTCACAAGTATCTGGAACTACAGGCGTGCGCCACCTTGCCTGGCTAATTTTTCTTGATTTATTATAGAGATGAGGTCTCGCCAAGTTGCCTGGGCTGGTCTCGAATCCATGGGCTGAGGCAATCTTCTCACGTCGGCCTCCCAAAGTGCTGGGATTGTAGGTATAAGCCATCACGCAGCCGGGCTCGGTGGCTCAGCCTGTAATCCCGCGCCTTTGGGAGGCTGAGGTGAGTGGATTGCCTGAGCCCGCGGGTTCAAGACCCGCCTGGGCAGTGAGACCTCATCTCTACAATAAATAAAAAAATCAGCTGGGCGTGGTAGCGCATGTCTGTAATTCCAGCTACTGGGAAGGCTGAGGCGGAAGGATCGCCAGAGCCCAGCAGGCGAGGCTGCGGTGGCCGGGAGTGGCCACTGCACTCCAGTCTGGGCAACAGAGTGAGACTCCAACTCCAAAAAAAAATAAATAAATAAACCATCACGCCTGGCCAATTTTTTTCTTTTTTTTTTTTTTTTTTTGAGTCAGAGTCTCATACTGTTACCCAGGCTGGAGTGCAGTGGCATGCTCTCAACCACTGCACCCTCGACCTGCTGGGCTCAGCA